TTGAATACATAACCTTTTTTTCTGTGGAGTGTCAGATGCATTCGTTTTCATATGACCTTAGCTGTCGCGAGGACGTTAGACCCGAAACGATTAAATAAGCAAAATTCGTAATACGTTGTTGTAGGGAGGGCCTGCCGCTTACCAAACACAACAGGACATGCCATTCAGAGCAGTATTCACCGTAATCCACACGTCGGCTCGATCACCAGCAATTTCGCCCACATGTATTCTACCGTTTGATAAATAATGTTAAAAGTCTAGACATGGCGTTGGATATTCAATGTCCAATTACATCGACGCTTTTTTTGAAGTTAACGCCGCTACTGATTTTTGTGCTCATCAAATGATGTACTACTCTGGTAATGGGAAAACAATTAATGAGATTTATGATATTTTTTCTATGGATTTAGCAATATGCATGAAAACGTGAAGGCTTTCCATCTGGGAAACGGCAGCTAACAGTAGCGTAATGTTCAATACATAACGTATGACAGATTGACAGGATATTCAACTATAAAATAACGCGATATAACGTTGTTTCACTTAGGTTTATGCATTGTATGCATGTAACATACACGTTGAATCGGGAAACTGTGACATTATTACACGGTCTAATCTGAGTAGTGTTGCATAATTATGTACAAAATGTATATAGATTTTGACGATGTATGGGTAACTTCTAATGGGTGCGACGTAATGCTCGCTGGCCCAACTGGTACCTGTCAGCTGATTATTTATATACTGCTCCCATGTACTGTAGGGAGATGCATAATTTACGCAATGGAAGTGTGCAATAGACGTGCTGCCCCCTGCTGGCGATTCTTGTGCAATAGACGTGCTGCCCCCTGCTGGCGATTCTTGTGTAATAGACGTGCTGCCCCCTGCTGGCGATTCTTGTATAATAGACGTGCTGCCCCCTGCCGGCGATTCTTAAATTACAGAATCCAGAGCTACGGTTTACAAGTATACTCTCTCCACCATAACCCGGAGAAAAATAGTTAGCAGATGATAGCGACCTACTGTTTCCTGATAGAGTCTTTCATATGAAGGCACAAGTATGTTGGATACGTATATTCTACCCGAAGGTTAAGAATTTTGGTCAGAACCGAGGCTTTGCCAAGGTTCAAACACCAAGATTTGCACCCGAATGTAGAATATCTTTCCTGTACATAGCTACATAATGACATTTCCTCCACCTCTTAATTTCGTGAAATTTCAACGCAACCGAAGGCAAAATTGCTACAGTTAGTCAAACACATTTTTGACGCATTTTCGATTGTAACGTCGGAATACACGTATTCCACATGCATGTAGGTGTTCCACATGGGCCACGTGTATTTTTCATACGCAGAGGTTTGAGATCTATATACATGTAGTTTCATCAGTCTGAAGTTAACAGATTTATTCTGCTGTATCCAGGGTTAGAAAGCGTAATGTAAACCAGAACATTTGTTCCCCAAAAGATCCAGAGATAGTTTTGACATCAGAGAATGAACATGCTGCTCCTTTAAAGATCTGAATATATTTACTGTGAAGATTATTAATTTTCGTAAGGTGTATAATTTCGTTGGGTTATTGGTTTATTTTCATTAACGAATTCAAATGTCCGCAAAGTAATTATAACTTTGATACAAAGCAATATTCCGTTCGAGTGGGTTTTCGTTATTCACGCATTCATGTACGCATTTCATAGTGATTTATCAGGAAACCATGAACTTTAGGCCCCACGAAAATATTTGACTTTACAACACTTTACAGAAGTCAGCCAAATTGTTGTTTCTTACAACGCTCGTAGATAAATAGTTTATAGAGTAATTCAGTCCTGACTATATCTGCAGTAACAAGGAATAGTCTTTACAGTAAATTGAAACGGTTGTTTCCTACAGGATCCGTGAATCTACCTTGTTTAATATCAATGCAGAATTGGTAGCCCGACCTTTAGAGATGTCATTGTGTTGATTATTCATTATGAATTAACATGTCTCATTTTATTTTTACATATACACTACCGTGTTTGCTCATTATGTGAACCTAGGAAATATACGATATATCGTAGTATTGTGGCTACCAAAATGAATCAACGTTGTTTAAACGTCAAATTACTCTTGAATAACTGTTTCACACGAAATTATGAATTGCTTTGAAACAATCTCTGAAATTTAAACGATATTTCGAAAGTTGTTCTTTCAATAACCGTCACTGACGATACTTATAAAAAATACAGTAGATATCAAATCGCGTACAATGTTATTGTTAATTGAAACATTGCTAAAACGTAAATTTTAAGATTGAATTGCATCTTTGTAGTTTAAATACCTAATACATTTGCAACAAATATTTCTGTGTTGACGTTGGCATATAAATCTAAACGAACGGGAAATGGCAGCTGCCGGTTATGTTTTTCAATATGCCAACAGATGTTAGCGTCACAACCACTACTCGTTTATGGCTATTTCTAGCAAACATATTACAAATTCGAGACGTAAATTCTATATCGATGCAGATGATAGATGATGTTTGTAATGAGAACGCCATCAGATTATAATGATATCCGTTCTAGGTTTCAAATGAACAAAATGGTGTGTATACATGTGTGTATTACGCATTCAATGTATTGGCAATTTTCCATCAGCCAGGACTTCAATGCCTTTTAGTGTACATACACTTAAGACTGTGTTAATGCATGTGTGTTTTCATGATGTCTAGTGGGTGGTTATGCTACATTGTATCAATGTTGACATGTATTGTATGTTCACACTTTTGATGCTGACGTAATGTAAGTCAATACAGCATAACCATGACAACCTGTTTACACAAACCATTGCATTATGACGATTAGGGTATGCAACCTCATCTGCAGTAAAATAAGTCATTTAGACATCTTGTATTGATCTAGACAGAAACAATGTAACTATCACACGCATAAGATATGTAACCTCATTTTGAGCAAATTGTATAATTTAGATATCATACAATGTACCTAGATACTGATATGGTTTAAAAACATTGCTATCACACAAATACAAAGTATACAATCTCATCTTAAGCAAATTTGATTATTAAGATCTGATACCTTAAAATAGACAGAAACCTTATTGCTATCACTTAAAAATATGCAACCTCATCTTAAGCAAATTGTATAGTTTAGACATCATACCTCTCTACTTATAAGGTTTATAGAAAGCATATTGCTATCACACAAAAAATGTAACATAATATTGAGCAAAATTTGTCTAATTTAAATGTAGACCTCATACATTTTCCTTAATAATCACTCATAACGCAAACAAGTAACGTCATCCTGAGGAAGTAACTAGATATTTTATAAAGTTGATGTGTATATTGAAGAACTTAGTTATCACAGCGCCTATCTACTCAAATGGTTGCCTGTGCTATCATTTTGCATGGGCTTATAATGCCTTTCTTGTATTTGTTGCCTTATAAGATTTCTTTTGTCTGTAAATTTCGACTTTTAATTTGAATGAATTTAACCTTGTGTGTTAAAATCTTTGGTATACTATTTTTTTCTAAATGCATAAAACTGAAAAGAATAAAAGGCACAACCAAACATTTTAAATGTTCACTACAGTAGAATTTACTCCTCTCTATCAACATTAAACTAGATGTCGGCGATTGAAAAACTCTACATAAGTACCGAACCAAGGATAGAGGAATCCATAACTCAATGGAGATGAAGCAATAAAATGTTATTAATAATCCAACAACAGGAAAGCATTTCGACTCAAAACTATGAATTTGCTGTCAACGTATAAAAAATGTCAAGAGTAGAGGCTCTTATATACCTTGTACATGCATGTAGTGTTACATAACGGGGTGTTAAAACTAATGCTATGTTTCCGGACATGCCCTCAGTTGAGTCCCTAAAGAAACGCAGGATGCATTACTGCTTTGTTTAACGATCAGAGGACCAGGTCCCGAACTACACCAAGGAATACCCTTCACACTTCTATGACTTATACCTTGCATTACAGTAGCACAAGGGGACCCCAAGAGAGACATAGGGATCGACAATAATATTCCGAAAACCTCGAATACAGGTTTTCTACATCGTATAAGTTACAATAGTTGTATTTTATTTGTGTGTATTTCACACTAGTTATAGTGGAAGTATCAAAATAGTTGACAATAAACTTTGCTTTACAACCCATACGTGGTGTGGCCCTTCAAGGAGGCTAGAGGAACTACTGGTATTCTGACTGTTTTAGTGCTTTGGTTTCGTCGACTTTTCAGTATTCCATGGTGACGTCTAAATTAGGATCAATGACTTACGTGTCTCCACGCAGTTGTCAATATTGCATGCCTACTAACCTCGAGCTTTGCACCACCATATTGCCGGCTGAAAACTGAAATATTTTGGACTCGAAGCAATTTCATATCATACTTGAATGGTTGCCGATTGAAATTGTTCGATTTTTTGTCGGGCACAAATATAATTCATTGTTCTGTCCCTCTGATTTAATGATAATGGTTTAGTTGGAACCCTCCTCCCCGACGAGCGACGGTCTCCTCCCAAGGGGGGACCGAACCGATCGATCCAGGAGAATTGGTTTGATATAAAGATCTTCCCTGACACGTTACCAATTACCCGTCTAATATCTCCCATGCCTTGTAATGTTCTTAATCGATAAAAATGCCCCCAGAATGCGCAATAGGGTTGTGTGTATTTGTACAAGAAATCTAGATATTTTGACTACTGTCTCGACTTGGGCAAGCACACAATTATCAATGATGATCTTATCTGAAAACAACATTCGAAATCTCTCCTCGCGACTCTTAAAATAAAGGAATATGTTGACGATCTAATAATATGAGTTTCAACTTAAATCATATACGATTGCTGTATATATAAGTGGCATATTTCTATGATAATTAAAAACAATGTATCATATCAATTGAATTTAGAATAGCAAAGACTATTACGACGTACGAACCACACACATATTACTATCATAAACATGCAGACAAAGATAGGTACTTACTTATGTTGTAAGTCCGGGACGCGCTGGTTGTCTTCAGAAGGACAGTGCCAAAAAACAAATATAACATGTATGATATTACACTACAACTCCTCATCTTGTGTTTGGTTTAACTACAACATGTCCAAAATACGAAATCGCCATAGTAAGCAATCAAGCCATGGGCTGCTAACAGTTAGTTGTTTAACGTTCGCTTCAACAGACAATCGAGAAAATCTAGGAAGAGCCAGTTCGCGCAGGCGCAGAAAAGGTTGAGATGCCGCAGGATTCTCTATGGGAGAAAATGGAGTCAAATGGATGTCAATGGAGATGGCCGGTCTCCGTGCCGGAGCGAAAGGTGTCAGTATAAACCACTAATTATACTGTCAATATGGGCAAGCACACGCGCTTCACGGCATACTTACTGAGCGAGGCGGGCGGTTCGTCACACGTTTAATGTAAATTATAACTAAATCCCTCCCCATTATTTTAATGTTAAAACAATCAACACTACTAAACATTTCCGACGATTTATGAAAATTCCATAAGGTGTTATGTTCTGAATGTACATTAACAGAATAAATTTAATATGAAACCGAAACGTGTTCCTGTTGTTGAGTATTTAAAAATAACTCTCTGAATAATTGCACAATTTCTAAATGTCAACGTATTGTTTTTGTTTTTTGTTTTTTTTATTTCATTACCAATTTAAAATCATCTAGCAGCTGGTATTAACAAAACGACTTACCAACTATCTTCTACATATACCAATTTTTAATTTTAAGGTAGAATTGTTTTGAATTTTAATTTATTAAAAAAGGATAATATATAACGAGGAGTTCTTTAAAACAACAACAAGTCTTCGATGCCTCTTGTTTCTCAAATGCTTGAAATAAATCAATTTTCATAAAGGACCAGTTAAATCACGTGTACCACTTACGGCGATATTATCTGTTTAAAAAAGAATGCTACATTTATGAATCATAAACCTTTATTTTACTGGTGTCCAGTATTGGATTTTCACTATTCTGCATAACGTTTCAGGAAAATTCTGAAGACAAAAAGTAATTTGTCTCATGAGGATTCATTTTAACGATTGAATAGTGTATGTTTGGCTTTCGTTAAGGATGCTTTTAACCAAATGTAGTCTTACTTTGCACAGAAATCCATCGGGCGCACTGAGACGGAAAGTAAATTAATAGGAGGCTACATCAGTGTTACACAGATCCTCTATCTGTAAACAGAGTCTGGGAAAAAGGCTTTATGGTATCTAATGGATGTGTTCAGAGGGCGAATATGCCGAACCTCTCCTACAAGCTTGTGCATAGAAATGTCGAGAGACGCTCCATTGATCTGACAGCCCGCTCTCCAAGCCTCTGTAGCAAGGCTTCTGGAGAGATAGATTTGCATCGCGACCCTTGCTAATTGTTTAAGATGTAATTTGCCGAAATATTGGTTAATTTAGCGAACGCGATCTGCATCCGGCCAGTGAGAGAAACCATTGTGCAATCATCTCTAACATACAATGTCGCTCACGCTTTGACTCATATTTGCAATAGCACAGACTTATATACCGGCGACTGTCGTGTGTATATTGGAAACGGAGGGAAGATGTGCTGAGCAGACCCTAGGCAGGCATGCGCTAAAGTGAATGTGATGTGGACGCCTTAGTATGCGCCAGGCAGTAGTGAAAGTAATTCTCAAAGTATGTTCAAGATAGACACCTATTCTCGAGAGATCAGGAACAAAGAAAAATGGCATTAGTGACACTATTGTACTTACAATTTACGCTTTTGATGTTGTGTCTTGCTTCGGACGACAACACCGTTCAAATAGGTGAGTAATGACAGGCAAGAGACATTATCTTCCACCATTATTGCTCTACGATAAACATATTACCATCCATCGCCATGCTTTCAGTCCAAGTAGTTCTAAGTGCTTTGCCTTTCTACAGTTAAATACTATATACTCTATTTTTCAGACAGTATGTGTATAGCATGTGTGAATATCCTTTCAATTGAAATGTCATGCTGTCGTATCTTTTCTAAAATATCATGATATTCCTTATATGTTGCGATGATAATTGGTAATTCGCTATTTCGAATTACAGTTTGACCTTTTTGTGACCAAACGAATATTGTCTGTATTGATTGGTTGATTGATTGAATACTTACAGGACACTAGTCAAACTTACAACTCTATCTTAGTAACATCAACGGTTAATTGATAATTCATTTTTATTTCAAATGAAAACGAAACTCTGAGTTTGGATGTAATATGGGGAAAACGCGAGATAATTTTACTATCGTATTATGATAAAACGTTATTTTATCATTTTGATTTGTTGATATATATTATGATATGCATTCATTACTTTGACGTGTATCGACACATTCAGCACAAAGATCCTTTTATAAGTTAATTTACATGCTCACAAAAAGTCACTCGGCGCATCAATTTCATTTTATTCTACTGAAAGATATACTGATGGTAAAAACTATCAGTGAAGCCTCTTGTTGATAACATTGTAAATTATGTTCCTTGTTATTGTCGTTAGTCTGTCGCCACAAAATATCTATGCAACTGTGTGTGGTGCATATTTTTTTTTTTATGATTAAACCAATAGCAGTATCCACAATTAAATGTGCAACTGAATAAACTTAAATCAAGATGTGTTTAACAGTTTTGTTTTAATAAATACATGATTGTTTTCGTTCAGTAAAGGGACCAATAAAGAGACCAACCGCGGGGACCCAAAATGTGGTCTCCTAATACAGGTGGTCTATCAACAGGAATGGCCGCATTATACAGCCTTGACTGATACAATAAGGTTTCATTTGCTGGCCATAATTCGAGTACAAATTAGATATTTATTATATTCACCTAAAATGGACCATAAGTACATACTTTCAAAAGACTTGAATAGGCTTAATTAAATTCCTGATCTCAAATCTTACATTTATTAGTAGTTGACCTAATTCGATTGGCACATATACCGACTGTGTTCACATTGATGTTTGTGTGTCAATCTATTTTCAATCAAAAACTTGTCGCTGTATGATTGCATTGTGTCTGTCCTGTGATTTATTGATAAAAGGACCTGTTAACAATTAATGAGGTACTTGATACTGGTACATACGACAGGAAACAAGTAGTGATATTGTTGGGTATGCGTTCTCACGTTTCATTTGAGATTTGATACTAATCATTTGCTAAATACACACGGCTCCGTATTACTGTGAGCGCAAAACGATCGATGAATGGTTGAAGAACACATATGACCTTAATGTGTATTGGAAGCGCACTTGTACTGTGCGATTGAACTTAGGTAAAGTGCTCAGATGCAAGCAATTAATGGCATCATTTTACATACTGAGACATTAAGTACATTTGTCGCCAATACATATCGTTTCATCGCAAAACATCCAATTACTGCGAAGAATACGTCAGAAATGAAAACATAGATGGTGTTTTATGGTGCAGCAAAGACTACATAAACGTCAATTAAGTCAAACTAGAGCGCCATTCATATAGCACCAAAACTGCAGATACATAACAGTTGATAATGTGAAATTCATTTCCTGCCAAATATATTGCAGCACTCCGCGTACATTCCAATGACATCTTGGCTCGCCTTTGATTTTGTTAGTCTTATGCTGTAAGTAATATTATGAATGATGAACGCAACACACAAAGGTTATTGCACCTTCAAACATTTGGTAATGCAGTATGCTAAACATATTTACAACACTGCTTCATACACCTGTTTCGTCCTTTAATGACTCATCGGTGAGGCTAGGTGCCAAAAGGTGGTAATCTAAATTGGTCTAAAACTACTGTTGAAAAACAGACGGTGAGGTGCGTAAAACCATTAAGTTCATAAATTTTAATTGATTAATTTAATATATACGTATACCATATGCAGCATTGACTATTATCAAAAATCTTTCACTACATCTTCAATACTCGAGTAGTCCAGTAGTCGAGTATCTTATTCTAGTACTTATCTGTGTTTGCACGTGAATGTTCACCAGGGAAGTTTCTAGAATCCAACCGACATTGTAAGTAATGGTGGTATCACTCAAATAATCGATTGAAGTAGATATGTGATTAACAGCCAAATTCCAAGAGACTATCAGCGCCATATCCAGCCAAATTTAGCAAGTTTGCAAATTTGGAAACCTTTGTGATCAATGAAAATCGAATATTGCTATGGGGTTACAGCGGTGATGACCCTTTCCCATACGTAGAAAGTATTTATTTTTATTTTAAATCAACCAATAAGAATGGAGTATCGACGTGGGTTACGAAAGAGATGTTTAAAACGCAAATAACTGTGGTTTGGACCGTTAACATTAATAGCATTGCCTCCATCATTCACACCATCTCAGCAAAACCTTGACACCAACACCACCATCACCACTATTTGAAACTACATAAAACTAACAGCGTCACTACAACTTCCCCAGACAACCACCATCATCTCCACAACAAAAATATCACTTAAATGCAAATTTAACTCCGCTAAATCATCCCTACCATACCCAATAAAGAAACGATTACTACCACAAATACCATTGATTAAAAAAAAAAAAGGAATATTAGACAAAACACCCAACCTCCACAATTCAAAACAACCAAATTATATCACTTTCACAACAAGACCCTCGAAATCCCTACCGAATTGGCCTTAGCCCCCAACCCACTATCATAAACAATATTTATAAAAACTCCACCATTAGCAGTAGCAACGCAACCATCACCACTACAACACAATACTTACTTTATATGTCTTATATGTACACGTATTACTATGATGCATGCTTAATATATTCTAAAAAATAGACATTTATCTAACGTGTCTGAGGTCGCTGCTGACCTAGATAATGTCTTGGATATTACGTGAGACGAGTGTTACTTATGTGCAGGAAGAAATGAGGCCTATCCCGTTTGTTTTAATGTCGTTTAAGTTTCTGTTGTTTAGCATATATATTTCTATGCTCCGATGTTTTTCTTCTTCTCATGAATGCGGTTTTGTTTGTACCTTTTATCTCTGGTGTGTATAGAAGCTATATGTGGAGATGTTTTTATATTTAAATAATTTGAATAGGTTAACTAGTGCAATGATCAGTTACCTATACTTTTTTTTATGATTTTACACATCTGACTGGAAGAAAGCTCTCATTTGTTGTAACAGTATATGTATGATAATTTATATAATCTGATGTGCTATAGTGATAAACACACCTATATCGGTGGGCTATACAAATGTTATAGGAAGGGGCAGTAAAACAAACAAATCGAAGTACTATTCGAATCGTTATGCCTCGAATTATTTGGTAAAAAAGAATAGGATTTAGTAAAGTTTCTGAACTGGTACAATTCTACAGATATGTTTTCTATCAAACATGGATCAAATTAATCAAATTAATTTAAATTTATACTTTCTTTTTTGTCAGGTTATAAGATGATAACTCAAGTTAGAAATGTTCATGATAAATTAACTCGTGCTCAACTAGAGTTAACCTGACCAAAATGCTTATATTTACAGTCTTTCTGTGAATTGGGCACACCTTTCTATTAAAAAGTCTACTAAGCGGACACAAACTTCATTTTAAAAACGTTTGATTAGTTCAATAAAAACAAGAACCTGAAATTTGCATAAGCCATGGTTAATTCCGCCCACATCTACTGTTGATGATGTCAAATATTTGCGTCTCGTTTGAGAAATAATTGCATAGGTCCGCCCACGTGTAATATTATCGACGTCATGGAAATCTGTAACGTTCAATGGTCAGATTTTGATAACTCCAGATTGCGAAAACAATTGGTATTGATTGAATGTCAGTGTAGACTATGAATATTTGCATATAGATACACTGTACCTGTTTATTCAAATGATCTTACAGATATATTAATCATGCAGTTGAAATAAAATATTGAATCTGATTTATCCAATTACATGATCACATGACAAGATTTCTTTTTGCTCTCTGAAGAACTCAGGGGGAAAGTATAATATGTCAAATAATTACTGCTTATTGTAACCATTATTAAATAAAGCTTGTCCCAAGTACAAAATACGAATAAATACGATACATATATATATATATGGGCTTACTTGGATTCTTCTTGCATCCAAATATATTTAGCATTTCATTGCAGTCTCCTCTAAATAAGTATTACCAGAAGAAATCGTGTTTATAGGGCTATGGAAGCAATTTGATCAGGGTCATTTTAAAGCTTCTCTTCCCGCGTCGAAAAGTGTGATATATCTGATAGAAGCAAACATTTTAGTGACGATAGGTTGTTTCAGGAATCTGGTTTGCACTGACAAAACAGACCCTTCAATATCAGGGAGAACCTATAGTTAGATCAATAATGACTGTAAGTTTTAGAATGTAAATGCAAGTATTGAACGGTATTTTCCAATGTTCATGCCGGTATGAACATTAAAAAAAGGCGGTCCAATCCTTAAATAACAAATAATAGGATGTATATTTGAGAAATATATCAGTATTACACAGGTTATTATCTAGACAGGTTAAACATATGTACAATTTTAGTGATCAGAATTCCGTAACGATTGTCGTGTTTACTAGTGCAATTATCATTAAATGCCAGTAGTTTTGGTTACTTTACTGATTTTTAATTGCTCTTCGACATCTGGGCCACGAACGATTGAGTATGCTTATTCAATTACGGCTAAGAGTTACTAGGGCATTTTATGATCGGTGTCTGTACATGGCCATCATTCACTGGTCTGAAAGTCACCATGAATACAAATATATTTCTACGTAAGGAATGAAGGATCAGTATTTTTCTATGCATCAGAT